AATATTCAATTTCTAGGAATTTTATAGAGCAAAACCATGAGGTGAGGTGGGTCTAAGGTGGAAAATGGAGGAACTCGCACATGAGGTGGGACAAAACTGTAGTCAACCAGTAAGGTTACAAGTATAATTGCTGAGGTAAAATTGATTAAATCTGACTCAAATGGGAAGCTAGTCATGTATCAAGCAGGCATGAATACAGAACAGGGGCTCTTCCTGTAGAGGGTTGGGTCCCTGACTCCTGGATTTTTCAAGGTGATTGATACTTATTTAGAATATTAGTCCTTGAAGCCCAACCCTAGGGAGGTATGTGGCTGCCTTTGTTTACCCATTTGTCTTGAGGTCTGGCCTATAGCGGGAGTGTCTATCTCTCCCACAGTTTCAAAGCCATCTTGTCTTCCATATTGTCTCTTTGAGGGCCTGACCTGTCTGACTGCCTATAATATTTCTATCTAACTCATCTGCCTACGGCACAGCAGTATTTCACTCTTTTTAGGGCTGAATTACTCGTCAGTGTGTACTCAAGTCAGATGTAGAAGAGCGCAGATGCTGTCTGCCTTCTGTGGACCCAAAGACTCCAGTTATGGCTTGGAGCCCACACGGTGTCTCATGCAAGTCCATATCAAGGATCTGCATGGCAAGGGCCAGTGGTCGATGCTAGAAAATCTGTGCTGGCTGATGAAGGATCCGAGCCAGAAAGCTGAGAGATCTGCACTTGAGTCCAGGAGACACATCTCAAATGGAGATGAGGATTGAAGCTCTTCTTTTATTTATTTATTTATTTTATTTATTTATTATTATTATTATTTTTTTGTGGAACCAGGGATTGAACTCCGGCCCTTGCACTTGCCAGGGAAGCGCTTATTCCACTGAGCCATCTCCCCAGCCCCGAAGCTCTTCTAAAGGAAAACAAAAACACCTTTGAAGAAAAGCTGCCAGATAGCAACTTCTTCAGGAAAATCAGCCCCATGTCATCTTCCTGTCTTGTTCTCTTTTTATGCCATCCTGGCAAGGATCCTTAGGTGAATCTTCCATGCTCAGAACCATTCCAACTTAGTTTAACTGGGCGTTCCTGTCAAATTGACCATTAATTAGCCCATCACAGTGGCTGAATATCATCCCATCCTGTCTGCACATTACATTCTATCTGTTCATCAGCTGATGAAGACTTAGGTTGAGTACATTTGTGGGCTGCTATGAATAGTGTTCAGAACATGGGAGTGCAGATACCTTCTTGCCATACTGGTTTTATTTCCTTCGGATTCATGCTCAGTAGTGAGGTTGCTGGATCATGCAGTAGTAGTTCTATTTTTAATTTCCGAGGAACCTCCATGCTGTTTCCCATAAATGTCTGTACTAATTTGCATTCCCTTCCCACCAACAGTATGTAAGCTTTTCTTTTCCTCTACGTTTGCACCAGCACTTATTGTCCTTTATTGTCTTGGTTATAGCCATTCAGACTGGACTGAGGGGATGCCTCATTGTGGTTTTGATTTGCATTTTTCTGATGACTAGTGTTGAATATTTTGCATAAACCTATTGATTATTTGTATGTCTTCTCAGAAGTATCTCTTTAGATGTATTGCCCAGTTTAAAAAAAATTTTGTATTGTCCATTTTAAAGTCAGATGTGTTTTATTATTTTTTCTCCTAAGCTTTTTGGAATTTAATTTATTTACTTTTTTATGTATTTGGTTGTTTTAGGGTCTTACTATGCAGCTCAGACTTGTGGTGATCCTCCTGTTTTCATCCTCTCCAGCTCTGGGATTACAGGTGTGCACCATTACCCCTGGGCTCTGGCTGGCTCAGCCTGCCCTGGGGACGGGGCTGGCAAGGCATGTAGGAGGGGAATTGAACCATGGTCCCTGCAGTTGCCAAAGCTTGCCTAAGCAGGTGCTTTAGTCTGCTGAGCTATCTTTCCAGCCCAAAGTTTTAAAAGTTTCTTATATGTTCGAAATGTTAACCCCCTCAAAAGAAGTTTAGGTAAACCCAAAAGACTCTTTGCATATTATTTAATAGCAAACAGATGTTAAGGAGGTAGGCTTAACTTAAAAAATACATCTTATCAGCACTGAATGGTTTTTGCAGGTTATAATGCTTTCTGTTTAGAAACTTCATCATACTCAAGATCCAGTGATCTAATTATGTGAAGTTGATTTTCTCCTGTAGTCTGTCACTTAAGTATTTAGTACAATTTAAATTTTAAATCTTCGCTCTGACCTCTACACCAGACAGAAGTAAGGTCTCCAGTCTATGCAAGAAACAGAATTAATATGTACATAAAACAATTAGCAAATGGCACAAAACAATGCTTAAATACCTGCTAGCGTCTAGGTCTTTAAAATATTGGAGTGGCCACTGTCTAAATCCCTTCCTGATTGAAAATAATTATCTAATACATTTCTGTATATTATCCAGGAGCTTTAATCTTTTCCCCCAGTCTTGTGATGTAAGTACCCAAGAGTACTCTGATGTCATCCTACACTTTGGCCTTTACCTTAGCACCGTGATGAACATGCTAAACACGGAAAGGCTTTATGTCTCCTGAGGGCATTCCTGTCCAGTCTTAGATTCCTACAACATGAGATGAAGGACAGGAGTAAAATAGAAAAAAACCTACAGTCCTTAAGGAAGTATCCCCAACACCATGTATCAACTCCCAGGCCCTTGCCTCCTTGGAGAATTCTTGGGGTTTTATTAGGTGGATCTTAAAAAGTCCTAACAGGCTGATTTCCCACTCACCTTGGAAACAAAATGGCGGAGACCAGGCAAGAGCTGCTGCTAGAATTGGCTGCACTGACACCACAGCGAAGTGGTCTTAGACCTTAAGAGTAAGGGGGTTGGGAAGTTATGAGAAGGCAATTAAAATACCAAAACCAAAAACCCTTGCAAGTTTGGGGTGAATGTCTGTTATTGTGAAGTGTAATAGTTCTCCACAGTGCAGTCTTTTCTGAAGGCACCTCACGCTTGCTTCCCAGATCAAAGTGGTATTGAGAGAGAATCACGGCGTGGCCTGGAGTTTAAGGTGGGGGAGGGGGCAGTGTCTTTTGAGTTATTGTACCAGGCTCCACACACCAGCTTTTTATCTTAATATACCAGAAAGGGTTGGTCTTGGAGAAGGGCTTCTACTAACTAGGTCAGGACAAAGTAGATCTTTAAACCATGGCATATATCCATCTGTCTTTTTTTTTTTTTTTTTTTTTTTGCAGTACTAAGGATGAACTCACAGCCTTCACACTGAGATATACCCCATGCTCTTTTTTTTTTTTTTTAATTTTAAATTTTGAGACTGGATCTTGCTAAATAGTTAAATTCCCCAGGCTGAACTGGTGATCTTCAGCCTCCCAGAGTGCTGGGATTACAGGTCTTTGCCACCATGCCTGATTCTGTAATGATATTTCTTAGAGTGAACATTTCATTCCTGGATTTTTTTTTTTTTTTTTTGGTGGAAATTCTGGAAAATTGAATATCTAATCCAAAGTAAAAATATCCCCCAAATGAAGCCACTGGATGATTATTCCCCAAGCTAGATAAAGGATCTTATCCTCACCTTCCAAGATAAATCCCAAGGAACCAGTCTTCTAGAACCCCATGTCTCTGCTTACTGAAAGTTCTGGATGCGCTCATCTCTGGTCATCCTTAGAGTACTTCTTTCCCAATATTGAAAGTGATATGTATATATTTTATAAAAAGGACAGGTGTGTATAAAGAAGCAGGAAAATAATCTCTAATTCTACCATCCAAGTTTTGATGTTTTCTCCCTGTGTTAACAAATGGTAAATCTTAGAAGGAAGCAAGTGGCATTCGTTGGTCAAGGTGGTTTCTTCTGAGATGAGGAATATGGAGGAAAACAGATTTACTTTTTAATGAACCCTTTTTACATTTGAAAATTTGAACCACGTTTAGGGTAAGAAAACACCAAAACTACCCCCTAACCCACAACCCCCCCCAAAAAAAATCCAAACAGCCATATTCAACAAATACCGGTCACCTCTTGCTGTCACCTGCTCTTCCCTGAGTTTGGTTCTGGTGTAGTGGCCAACTGGCAGAATCATAACACAGCATTTAAAAAATTGAGTTGTATGCCAGAGGAGTCTGTTGGGCTTGGATGTGGCCCAGGCCTCTGGAGAGCTTCCTTAGGATTTGAACGTACAGCGATACTTGAGAATATTTGGTCTGGTGAAAGATAAAAGTGCAAATTTTATAATTATCGAAAGAAGTAATCCTAAGCTGTCATAAGCACTGCTGTGAGAGGAAGTCCTGGCTGCTGTGACACATGACAGGCCCAGCTGAGGGTGGCACAAGGAGGCTGCAGAGAGGAAGCTTTCCTGAGAAGCGTTGCTTCAGCTGCGACCTAATCATGGTTGAGGCGCTCCTGTGCTTCTCACGTGTTATTGGGCATAAAAATTGTCTGGAGGACTTGTGAAAACACCAAGCCCTGGGATCTTCCCCCTCTCATCCCTCTAAAGAGTTTGGCTTGACAGTGCTGTGGGTAGTGCTGAGAATCTGCATTTCTAGCAGCTGTTGTGTTCGCTCGAGGACTGGTGTGTGCAGAGAACAGGGCCATTCGGTGTGCCCTCAGATGGTGTAGACATCCAGTGTCTTCATCATTTGGCATCTTGTTCTAAAGCACTAAAATATAAACATCTTCCTTTGTTATTTTCAAAGCATCACCTTAAGTGTCTGCATAATAGTAACAGTCCATGATAGGGCTTTAATATCATCTGGCTGTCTCCTGTTGGATATCTAGGTTCTGATAACCACTTTAAGTAGAATTAAATGGGCCAGGGAGATGGCTCAGTAGAATAAGCGCTTCCCTGGCAAGCACAAGGACCTGAGTTCAATCCCTGGTTCTGCCAAAAAAAAAAAAAAAAAAAAGTAGAATTAAAATGCTATTAATGGTGCCTGTAGTGTCCTCAGAGAGGTGACATAACAATTATTTCAGCTTGCTCTCTCTCTCTCTCTCTCTCTCTCTCTCTCTTGCTCTCTCTCTCTCTGTCTCTCAGTTGTGACTCTCAGTTATAACAGAGTCCTCCTTTACACAATGGGCTTAATGATCACATGGTTTTTGTTTTAATACTGCCCTTCTTCAGCCCCACTATCATAATGTATTAGCTCGTTCTTTCTGTCAACAGCATAACTCAGGAACCCTAGAAGAACTGTTCTTCAGTCACCAAATAGTAACATGCACTGTGTCATTCAAATGAAGTATTCTGGGGTCAGATACAGATTGTGGCCACACTTGCTGAGAGGTCATTTGTAATCAGAAAAAAAAAAAAAAAAAGAGGATTTCATTTCTGAGTTAATTTCTAATACATCGAGAAATCAGTTTTCTTATTCTCTTTATAAATTTTGATGATTTTATAAAAGGATGTTATTTCTTCTTAGGGGATTAATCGATCGAGCCCAGTAGCTTCAAAAATAATTAAAAATGAGTGAGAGTTGCTTCCAGAGTGCATGGATTTTATACTATAGAAGTAAATTTTAAAAACCCAATTGTGATCGTAATTTCTGCCATTTAATAGCTGACAGGCTTTAGCAAAGCTAGTGCTTATATATTAATCCTACTGGTATCTATTTCTGGAATTTTCTGTTTGATTTAATCATTTAAAATATCTTCACTAGTTTTGAGTCATTCTAAACAAAACATTAGTAGATTTAATGAGTCCAACTTTGAGCTTATTCAGTGTATTCTTATTAAAGCTATTATTTCTATGTCATGTCCACGATTTGTCTCCAGTGGGTATTTGTGAAAGAAGAAAAGGTTATTGAGTGCACTGAGTTAATTTAGTAGGATTCAGTGGATTATGCAGGGGAGAGTTAATGAAAGCAATTTGTAGGGAACTAAATGATCTCTTTCCATTTTCCCCTGCCAGATTTTAAAACACTTTCCTTCAATTTTCTTTTCTTCTCTCTCTCTCTCTCTCTCTCTCTCTCTCTCTCTCTCTCTCTCTCTCTCTCTTTTTGGGTGGCACTGGGGTTTTGAACTCAGGACCTTGCACTTGCCAGGCAGGTGCTTATGCCACTGAGCTGTATCCCCACCCCTCCTTCAGTTTTCTAATGTATTGATCACTTAAAAAATCCTTCAGTCTTACCTTACCTTTTGTACTGGTTGATAATTTGTGTCAACTTGAAAAGTTTAGAAGTTTAATTAAGTGACTGAGCAGGGAGCCAGGATTCTTAGTTTGTAAACATCCTCATCCTGTGCAAGAGGAGGGCGTGGGCACTGTGTGAGTTCTGCACCCCCAGCCCCAGGGTATGTTGTTTACAATAATGTAAGGAAGTGAGAGAGCCTGGCTAGAAGCTGCAGCTGCTGCCTTCCCTTTGTGCTTGGCTCTTTTCTGCTGCCATGAACTGCTGCCCTCTGCCAGGTGCCCCTCGGCCTGGGAGCCAGCTGAGCATAGACTGAAACCTCCACAAACTGTGAGCTACATAAACCTTTCCCTCCTCAATTTTGAGTGTGGGTATTTTGTCCTAGACACCTTTCAAGAGAAATTATAAGAAATTATGAAATCATATTAACATTAAAAAAAAGTTTGGGTTCTAGGGGATCTTATGTGTAGGCTCCTGTAGATAAATCTAGAAAAAGTAAAACTGAACTTGAACTTTACTTGGGCTTTGCCACTTGTCTGCCTGCAATAAGGTGAAGCTTCTGGGATTTTGAAACTTGTACAAGATTTAAAGTCTGAGAGCTGGAAAGAGGTGAAAATGCAAAGGCTCATGGTTACTTTGGCTTATTTCTGTCATGGTAGTGAAACCAACATTCCAAGGTAAATGATTTTCTTGAGTACACATTGCTTCATATATTAGCATAAAGGAAGCCATATCCTTTCCTCTTGATTTTTAATATTTATGGAAATGATAAATAAAATACTTTTGGTAAGAAAACGATGCAGGTAAACTCTCCGTTTCTTTTTGGCTTAGGCAGGAAGCCAAAAATAACAGCTGTAAGGACTTAATGACCAAGGAAAATATAGGAAGAAGATAACTCAGAAATCCTTTCTTGCTGGGGATACAGCCCAGTGGCACAAGTGTCTGCCTGACAAGTGTAAGGTCCTGAGTTCAATTCCCAGTAACAACAAGAACAACAACAACAAAATCCTTTTAAAATTATTTTTTTCTTACTTTAGTGTTGTGAGACAAAAGTGATTTTGTTTTAAATACTACCGATATATTAATGGTGCCTATCAAAGAGTACAAAGTAGGACCCAGTAAAACCTTCAACTGTAACTTGATCTGCAAGTGTTCGTCAACACAAGTGACTATTTCTAATAGATCTTAATTTGAGAAGTGGGTGATGCCTTGCAGTGAGTGGTGCGTGATGCCACATATCACGTGGTCACAAGCAAACCAATGGCTCTTTCCTCCTTCTCGCTGGGGGTTGTGGGTCGTCGTTCCCTAACAGCAAGAGGTTATGGAGGAGATCTCACCTGCAGAGGAGGAGAAAAAGGCTAGGAAACCCCTCCCTTCAAATGAAAACAGGGAGATGTATAAAATGTGGGAAACCGTGCAAGATTTTCTAGAAAGATAGCCCCCAAATAAGGCTGTAGCAGTGTTACAATCAGTTTAATGACACAGTGCGTCCTATTTCCACAGAATCCTCAAAAGGAGGCACAAGTGTCATTGGATAGATGGGTTCCTTGTTCAAGTCGCATTGGAAGAGGCCATTGAGCCAATCGACAGCGGGGATTCAATAGTGATAGGCAAAGTTGTCTCACACAGTAATTGTCTTCTCTTATCTCCCTCATACTAGCCAGGAAGGTTTTCAAAGATTAGTGGCGGTTAATTTGTTTCTTTTTCTTTATATTTTGTTTTTCTTTATTATTTTACAGTGTTGTAATAATTTTATGTTACTAGTTTTGGGCTGTGGAACAAATCGTCTGATTGCCATTATTCTTAGGGAAATTTGCTGTGATATAGAAAGGCTTTGGATTATAAACGTGTTTGCAGAGCAAATCGTGCTCATACACCAAGGTTTTGCGTATTGGGATTTTTCACCCTGGCTGTCTCAGGCACTTTCTCACTGTTGTGACCAAATATCCAGTACCTACAACCTACAGGAGGAGAGGTTTACTTGAGCTCATGGGTTGTGAAAGGTTTTTTAGTCCATAGCTGGCTCCCTGGCAGGCAGAAGCTGCTATGTGTGGGAGCCGCGCGCACATCATGGGGTCCAAGAGGCAGAGAGGAGGGAGGACTGTGGGAGGGAGATGCGCATCCCAAGACCCCTCCTCCCCCGGTGACAGTGACTCACCTCTTCTGCTCAGGCACCTCCCAGCAGCACTCTCGGCTACAGAGCTCACAGGTGGGTGAACCTGCTACTGAATGCAAAGCTCCCATGCTCGGGTCACCTTCCAAAGGCCCAGCCTCTGAGGGCATGAGAATTTGCGGAGGGGATGGAGGGAGCACTCGAGAATTAAATCATAACTCTGGCTAAATCTCTTATTTATGATGCCATTCCCTCCTAGGGTATTTTGTTGATTTCTGAATACAGAAGCTAATGGCTTTGCTAAAACTGAATAACACCCCCTACACCAGGAAGCTGGAAATACTGTTCTTCATGTAAATGTATTAGGTTGAGAAATACCTGAATTATTTTAATGAATGATAAAAAAAGTTCTTAGATATGCTGGTCCCTTTGCATTGTCATTGTCAGTTACTCCAAATTTTGAAAATTCACGATTTCTGTGTAAGGCTTCTTCTTTTAAATAGGATTGGGTCTCTAGTTTTCTTTCTTTCCTTTTTTTTTTTCTTTCCAGCTTTCAATAAATAAAGAAAACAAAATGTTTTAGAATAAATGCAAGGTATGCAAGAACAAAACGTAATGGGTGAAGTCCAATTCCCCCTTCACTAATGGGGGAAAATGACTTTTTCTAGGAAATATGTACCATGAATACACAAAAACGAGGCTGATTTTTAGTAGAGTTGAGAAGAACCTCAGTAACCAAAATCAGAGTTTTTAGTGGTTGATAAATATTAGCATATTCAATCAGAGTATCAGTTGGCTTTGATTTCCCCTCGGCAAAACAAGCATCATATTGTCTGTACAATCTGTGACTGGCCTTTCTCACTGTTGGCTCTGTTGCAGTGGCCTTTTGGAGAAAATGTTCCTTCTAGCACTTTCGGTGTGTCCGGTAGACTAGCACAAAGCAGAAACTTTCCCTTTCCCGTCCCTTATGGAAATAGTTCTAAAAGTAGCTTGTGTAGTGGATTTATAACTGGTGGGCCAGCCACTTATTATACCCAGCTGAATTAAGCTAGCGTGATGCTGGATGTGGGATGCCCACTTGAGGGCTGTTGCCAGGAGGACAAAGGCAGAACAGGAGAAGCTGTCTGTATGCTGTTAGGGATGCTGTTTGGAGAAGTTGTTGGAAGCTGCTAGAAGCTGCTAGTTCTCTTGGGCTGTTCTGCTGGAGGACCTTGCCAGGTTGGCTTTCCCGATGAACATTGGAGCAGCTCTGGTCCTCATCTTGAGCATCACTTTCTGGCTCTGGAGGGGAAAATTGTGCACTGCTCTGGAGAAGCTTGTTGCATTGGCTTTCCTGATGGGAACTCAGCTTCCCTCATCACTGGAGGTGCTTGGGACCTCATTGTTGCTGAGGATGGCTGGGGTACATTTGAGGGAGCTCTGGTGCTTACCTTGAGCATTGCTTCCTGGCTCCAGTTCAGACCCCTCAGCAGGCTAGCACAGATCCTTCAACCTGTTGGCATAGCTGTCACTACTGACCTTTGGGCCTTTGCAATGCAGATCCACGAAGCAGGCCTGCATGAGACTTTGTCATGGGCTCTAGGCCTCCAGTTGGACTTGTGGGAGGCATCATTTTGAGCTCTAGGATTTCAGCAATATGCATGCAGGCCATTAGAATCCAGGCCCTCAGCTAGATTCTGTAGTGTTCAGTGTGTGGACAGATTCCCTGTACTACTTGTATATGACTCTTGGGTGATTCCTTATAAAATAATACTATAAAAGGTGTCCTGTATTATTTTGTTCCCCTTGCAAAACCCCCAAACCAACACAGCTTGTATACTTTATTAATTGTTCATTGCATAAGTAATTTCATGGCATTAAAAATGAGCGATGAATGTTATGTGACCTTCTTTACTTTAAAATATTATGGAATTGAATTTCTGCTTATAGTTTAACCAGAACATAT